GGGGCCATCTGCTGTGATTGGTTGGGGCGAGAGAAGGAAGACAGGATAAAGACATGACCCTTACATTTGTACATGTAAGGGTCATTTTTCCCATTAGTTACTTGAGAGCAGTGGCACGGTGACTAAAGGTGGTCTTAAAAGTTGCATTACAGTTTTACTGCAAAACAAAAAATGTATTATTATTAGCAATACAAATACTATTATTTACTTTGCAACTCGCTTGACTCTAAGGTGAGCGATACGTGTTTATGCAGGTGTTATAATGTAGCTTACTGAGATGTTGGATGATGTGGTCTATGGTGGGCTTAAAGAGGGAGTTCATAGCATCTGGATTCATCCGCAGCATCCCCTGAGATGACCACTTAACAAAGTCCACACTGGAAAGAGAGGAGAACGTCTGTTACATGCACTGTATTCACTTCAGCAGATCATTAGTTCGTTACAATAAATGATCAAAAACATCACTGAAGTGTCAAATTTCACAAAATGGCAAAGACTCATATTTATAAATGAATGTAACTAATGATACAACTGAACTGCTGTTCACTTTATTCTAATCCAGACATGTTTGTTACAAATGGGACTAAAAATGCAAGAGTTTAACTGTTTATTAATGCAAGTCAGAGATAGAAATCAAAAAAAGACGTTTGCTTCAGGTGATGGTCCAGAAACTTAAAGCATCTCTTAGCCTGTTAACATGTTAGCACAGCCTACAGTCTGACAAAGCCACTAGCTACAGCAGTGTGAAAAAGTAATTGCCCCCTAAACCTAATAAGTGATTAGCCACCCTGACAGCAACAACTGCAATCGAGCGTTTCTGATAGCTGGCTTTTACAGTGCTGTGGAGGTGTCGAGGTCGCCTTGTCAAGGTCATGTCACAGCATCTCAATCAGATTCAGGTCAGGACTGACTCGGCCACTCCAGAGTCTTCATCTTGTTTTTCTTGAAACATTCAGAGGTGGACCCGCTGGTGTGTTGCGGATCATCGTCCTGCTGCAGAACCCAAGTGTGCTTCAGCTTGAGGTCTTGAAAAGATGGCTGGACATTCTCCTTGAGGGTGTTTTGGCAGAATTGATGGTTCCATTTACCACAGCAAGTCTTTGGGTCCTGAGGCAGCAGGACCAGACCATCACACTACCACCACCTTATTTTACTGCTCTACATGTTGCTTTCCCCAAAAGTCTTGGGACTCATCAAGAAGATTCAAGATCAAGAAACTGAGAGCGGTCTTTATGTTCCTGTTGCTCGGCTGGTTTGGAACCCAGTGTCTTTCTTATGGTGGAGTCATGAACTCTGACCTTGAGGCAAGTAAGCCCTGTGGTTTTTTGGAGGTTGTTTTGGGTTCAGTGACCTCTTGCAAGAGTCGTTGCTGTGCTCTTGGGGTCATTTTGGTTGGCCAGGCACTCCAGAGAAAGTTCACCACTGTTGCGTGTTTTCGTCATCTGTGGATAATATCTGTCATTTTTGGTTCGCTGGAGTTCTACAGCTTTAGAATGGCTTCATAACATTTCAGTTACTTTGTTTCTCATTTGTCCCTGAGTTTCCTTGGATTGCGTCATGGTGTCTGGCTTTGGAGGATCTTTTGGGCTACGTCCACACGTACCGGGTATTTTTGAAAACGTAGATTTTTCTATGCGTTTGCACCTTTCGTCCACACGTAAACGGCGTTTTTGGTCACTGAAAACAGAGATTTCTAAAAACTCCGGCCAGGGTGGAGATTTTTGAAAACTCAGTTTTTGCATTTACGTGTGGACGAGAAAAACGGAGAAAACGCAGCGTCAAAGGTGTGCGCCTTTTTTGACGTCACACTGTGCGCCACGTTATTGTTTCAGTGAAATGAATTTCTACAATACTGTTACTGTTAATTGTTCTCTGCAGTGTTTAAATGCTTACATATACACACACAGTTACTGTCCCTCCACACATACGACTCGGTTCTGCTTCTATGCCCCAGCTTTGTTTACTTTTCCCACCGAGGCTTCTAGACTTCTGATTGGCCAACATTTCTGCACGGTTAGGAATATAGCGCCACCTGCTGCTTTGGCATGTTCCTAGCAGCGTTTTCCTTCATTTCTGCCTTTACGTGTGGACGGGATTATTTTTTAAAACGAAAACGGAAAATCTCAGTTTTCAAAAATACCCGTGTACGTGTGGACGTAGCCTTGGTCTACTCCACTTTATCAGGCAGGTCCTATTTAAGTGGTTTATTGAGAACAGGTGTGGCAGAAATCAGGCCTGGTGGCTGCTAGAGTAATTCAGCTGAATAAAGGGGACAAACACTTTTTCACACTTTTAAAATTTCATCTTAGTCAAGATGTTGACAAGCGACAAAAACTAATATGTGCATAATCTGTCTTGATGAACGCTCAATCATCCAGGTCAGTAAATCCCAAAAGGCTGTTCATCTGGACGTAGCGTTTAATGGTACTGAGGAACTGACCTCCCAGCCCATTGTTCATCAGTGGGCTGGGAGGTGTCCCCTGATGTCCTGATGTCAGTCAGCTGAGACTGAAGAAGCCACCTGATGATAATGAAACGTTTCTGAAAACGTCCAGATGAACAGAATCAACCTTTTGGATCATGTACAGAATCAAATGTGATCAAGAAATATTGCAACATGAAATCACAGAGTCGATATAATTCAGATTAAATCTGAATCCAAAGCAAACGAGCGCTGTCAGGATTATACAGACGCTCGTGTCAGTCCAGGGTTTTCTGTTTACACTCACTTGCTTTTGCGCAGAGCATGCTCCACACTGTGGCCCCTGAACTTCTTGTAGTAGTCGATGAAGGAGAAGGGCAGGTTAATATTGAGAGGGTTGGTTCTGTCAGGGGCTGCAGCTCTCTTTCGAGACTCAAATGCAATCATCAGATCCACCCACGCAGCTGGCCTCTTTATCTTAAATTGGTCAATGAAATCTTGGCCAAAGATCTTACACAGCAGCTTCTCAAATTCATAGTCAATCCCAATGGAGCCATAGGGGCCACCTGAGGAAACAGACGGCTGTGAGTCACATGAACATGGTCTGATGCTTTAGCAAAGCGTTACGCTACACCCGTTTTACCCGAAGCCTTGTAGAGCTCTTTCAGATGTCCTTCTGGAAGACGGATCTGATGGACAGTCAGGTCAACTGTTCCTCCACCACAGTCCACCACCACATATCGGTCACCTGTACAGAGGAGTGAGCAGGCGAGAAGCGTGGCGTGAGACGAAGTGCATGCACCGTGTCGTTTACAGGAACATGACTTTGTCTGGCACTACTGCTTCTGGAGTGAGAGCACAGAGAGCACTGCTGACCTAAATCCTGGTAAACCTCTGAGGCAGTGTAGAAGGAAGCAAACCCCTCAGGATAGGTGGAGCTAACAGTTTTAATAGCCTCTCTATTAACCCTGTGAGACCCACCCATCAGAAAATAGCCAGAAAACTCAGAGTTTTAGAACTGAGATGTTTATGAACCCTTATAACAAAATCCACAAAATGTGTTTTTTGCTTTATCGTGTTGTGTTTGATATATTTTTATTATGTGTATGTTTTGTATTGCATTTGATACATTGAGTGTTTTTGACAACTTTGTAACAACAATGTTAATTTTAGACAAAAAAAGAGTTTGTCCATAACATTTTGAAATGATGGCAAATATTGATCATGTTGATGAGATACAGGTCTCAGAAACTCACGTATCAAATATGATACAAAAAGTTAACATGTATCCATGTTGAAAGCAATAATTACAGTCTTTGTATTAAAGTCAGTCTTCAATCTTTAGTCAGAACTTTTAAAGATGAAGGGTGTGTAACAGCAGAGCCACAGAAACCAAAGCTCCCGTGGTTATTAAAGCTCGCTAGCAGGACGGCGTTCAGCAGACTGATACTGTCAGCTGCAGGTTAGCATTTGTCCAGTGTTCAAGAGCAGAGATGCTAATGAGCTATCAAGCCTGTGAAGCAGGTTTCCAGTGGTTTGTGCTGTGATTGGTTGTTTGCTAACCAGTCAAATGGTTTATGTGTTCATTTAGCAGAGCTGCACATGTGCTGCTGATGGGTTTCCTGAATAAGCCTTAAAACCTCAGCTGGGCTCTTTTCCCACCTAAAAGCAACGGTTTGTAAAAACTTTAAAACTTTAAAGCTCAGTTTAAAGTGGCTCTAAAACCACACGTGTGTGTTGAAGGAACAGAAACTAATTTTATAGGGAGGCTGTAATTTACTGTCAGGTGACTGCTTATTCTGATATGACCAACAACAACCAACCACAGCAATGCGTCCCTCTGGCTGATCCCGCCTTTCCCAGTTAGTGGAATCAAATGATGATCAGTGTTATTTGGCTCCATGCTGGACACACATCCCCGCTGTGGTGGTGTCAGAAACTGCCTAATCAAATGTGTGGACCTACCTTCTGCCAGGCCAGCAGCTGATGCTCAAACTACGTCAGTGTTTCTGAACACTTGAGTTTTTTATTTCTTTATACGTTTGGTGCCAATTCTCTAAATATTAGGTTTATAATAAACTCTTAATCTATGACAGGATGACAGAACATGAAAGAGCCAAAGGAGGCGGCCTAAAGTAAAAGAGAACAGATGAGTAAAAGAAGAGAGAGACTCTACCTTCTTCCAGCTCCGACCAAAGCTCCCCTATGACATTTTCCACCAAAAACGTGCGACTCTGCCGGTTGCGCCGTACATGCTCCTTAGCTGCTTGTTAACAGAAAGAGAGTGTTCTGGTGAGTCTGATAAAGGCAGGAAGCGCTGCTATGAGAAGTTGTGGGGCTCATATACAGTGGGGTGTGAGACAAGCAGCAGCCTGAGATGAATCTATGAGCAGGACTGTGGTGTGATCTCTACAGAGGTCTTTCCAGGAACAGTTTCATTAAAATGATTATTAAACGGGTCACTTGGTTGGCATACATACATACAGTCACTACAGAACATGATATACGACGTCATGCACAGAACCTAAGTGGAAAATGGATCTATTCAGTCTTATTTATATAGATGTCACAACAGTCACCTCAGGACTTTAGCTTGTAAGTTAAAGACGCTAGAAGAATACAGAGAAAACCCAAACTATTGGACGACGTTCCAGGAGCAAGCAGTTTGGCCACAGTAGGAAGGAAAAACTCCCTTTTCGTCTGCAGATTAACTCTGTTTATGTATTTTCCACCACAGACGGTCTGTAGCGTGTTGGTGATGTCACCAACCCTGAACTACAGGAGCTGCATACCAGTGATTTCTGCACGATGGGCAGGTTAGGTCTTATCAACCAATCAGCATTTGCAGTCGCAAACTTGATCCACTGCCAGCGACATGCAGTTGGGAGCTGAAGTCCCACAGATGTGTCCGTCCACACGTTTGGTTTGAGCCGGAAAGACGATAAAAGACTAAAGCATGAAAATGCAGATTTCTAACTCTCGCTTACACTCCAGCTTTTTATGTTATAACCAATAGCAGCACAAGAGTGGCAACCCAGCAGTAACACATAACACTGCCTCCACATGACAACAGACGGGCCCTGGAGCAGGGCGGCCACACCTCTCTCTGCGCGACCACACATTTAGCTTTAGCAAACCGACTGCAGCGTCCTTCACAGAGCTTAGACCAATCAGCTTCCCTGATGCATAATTCATGGCAATCATCCCGGCACATCACCGTGCATGCTATATCACTCTGTGCCGGGTCCCGATCCGTCATGTGTGGACCAGTTGTGATGCACCATGTTGTGGGGTTCAAACAGTGTTCAGAGAAAAGCAGCTCGATGGTCCCACTACAGACTTTTCTGTGGGCGAACATCCTCTGTTTGTCGAATCTGTTTACCTGAACGTCGTTTGCTGTTTTAGCTGTTTCATGGTTGTTGAAATGGTTTTAGCTGAGACTCTGGTGTTTCTATGGATACCACACATCTATGTTTAAATAACAGATCTGGCAGTACATCCTGTTAAACCAGCTGTTCTCCCTTTCACCCCCGGTAAGGGGAACGGAGGTTCAACAAGTTCATTGTTTATTGCTTAATTACTTTGTGTAAAACTTTAGAAAATATAGTTTAAGGTCCAGAGTTTATGCTTGTGCTTGTCTGTGGTGAGAGGCCGATCAAAGTTAGGTCTGTTAAGCTGAGGTTTAAGGCCGGGGCAATTGTCAAACCTTTTGTTCTCCATGATTGAAAATTGCTGAAAACAAAAATGGTTATGACTTTAGCTCCTGATTCGATCAAGTCTCCACGTCACTGAAAGCAGACAGATTCGGCTCACTTCATGTTTTCGCTCGTTGCCTTTTTCCCGACACACTTGGATTAAATGCCTCAGTGTCTCTGTGCATCTGGCCTGCACCACTACACCTGCTGTCTGCCCCACTTCCTTCTTTCACACAATGGTATGATTCCAGTCTGCCTTTGCAGTGATTGGCTGTGTGATGTGTCCATCAGTCTCACCCTAACCTGCATGGATTCTCAGCAGGGCTGAAGACTCGGCTCACACATAATAATTACATCGTGAGAAACTCCTGACCTAGAGCAATATTTAGATGCCTTCCCAGCTCTGACAAATGTTTTTAACCAACGTTAGCAAGGACTGCCTAAAGTTAGCACCTGAGTAGGTGTAAAGGCCAGCACACCTGACATCATCACACTGTCCTGTTTTAGAAGGGGGCGTGGCCTGGAAGAGAGAGGTGTGCAGCTGAAAAGCTGCTGTAAAGAAAGACCATGTAAATAAAATCATCCTGCAGCGCTGTGTGGATGGATGGGTCCTTTTTGTGCTACAAATGGGAAGAAACAGGACCAGGCTTGGGAATGAGGCTCATTTGACACAACCAGCTGGGGAAGAGGGGCGAAAAGACAAACTGTGAAACAGATCACAGTGATATAAATGTATGCTATGTCTTCTAATGATGCTGCCTAAGGGAAGCATGTATAATGTAAACAGAATTGGTCCTAGCACTGAACCCTGTGGAACTCCATAATTAACCTCAGTGTGTGAAGAGGACTCTCCATTTACATGCACAAACTGGAGTCTATTAGATAGATATGATACAAACCACTGCAGCACAGCACCTGCAGCATGCAGCTGCTCTAATAAAATGTTATTGTGAGTAGTAACAAACGCTGAGGTTTAACAGGAAGCTTAGAGATTGTTCTGTGATTAGCTGAGACAGCTAATGATGCTTTTTAAATAAAGGTTTAGTTCCCGCGCCCTCCTGTGGTACTGAACCTGTTAACAGAGAGACTCTATCTGAGTTCATCTTTCTAAAAACATTTAGTGTAAACTTTCATTTTTACCAGAGCAAAATGTTCAGTCCAACTATAAAGAACTTTAATTACACATGATGCAGAGAGGGACGGACAACCAGTAGTTATGTACAAGAGTCTCAGGCTAAATGATACCTGAAAGATCAATCCAAACCAACCAATATAGAAATAACATAAACATTACAGATGTAACCATGTGAGGAAGAATATGCTTCCGTGGGAATCCACATCCAAAGGAAGCTGCAGTCGTGTTAAAGTTCCAACAGTCTTTAATATTCTGACAGCTTATTTCTTATGGACTCGTGTGTGTACTGTGAGATGAGATGCATGCACTTGACTTTTCAGGGATCCTCCAACAGAGTGTTGGACTAACGGACTCTCCTATCTGCACGGAAAGCTCAGAAAATGACAGAACTGACACCCCTGCTTTAAATCCTCTTTAAACGATTGTTTCTAATAATACTGAGACTTGTTCACTGAGGAGGGACAGTCACCACTTACAGGACTCTTTGTGAGGTAGATTTCAGCCATTCTCATGGCAGCATCTCACTGCCTTTAGGCATGTCAGCAGGGTTAATATTATTATTTATTTTTGTCGTTTGTACTGGGGGACCATTTCCAAGGCATCCAGTTACAGCTAGAAATATGTTCTCCAAATGCAGTGACACTCGTTTCCTGATGTCTTCATCGTCACCTGAACTGTACAGTCTGTTGCAAAAACGCACATTTCAAAGGTTTTTCAGTTGCTCTGAATCTTTGAAGCCCTGAGTGCTTTCTGCTGGAATATGACAAAACCAATGAAGGGTTTCTCTCATTTGACTCAGCATTTTGTGTTTATTATTATTATGATGTTCTAGTTCGTTCTGATCATGTTTTTGTGTTTTGATGCGTGTCCCTCTGTCTGTACCGTGTCTCTGAGTCCAGTCTGTGCATTTCCTGTTTTACTTTGAAGGTCTCCCTGTCTCATCTGTGTAATTAGTGTCAGCCGTGCCTCCCAGCTGTTTCCTCTCAGTCCTGTTCACCTTATTTAGTGTCTGCATCGTCCCTCATTCGACTCTGTTCTGTTTGCCTGCCTGTTAGTTTATTTGCTTTGTTTTAGTTTTCTGTTCAGTCTGTAATCTCCCGATAAAGCCGGGTGTTTTGAGTTCACATTTGCCTCCGTGAGTCCTGCTCTTGGGCTCACCATTCCCTCCTGCCTTCACAGCTATGACACAAACTGTGATCTTTCTATTCATTTCTGTGTTTCATAGCCCGCCTGTAGCCGAGGTCTGAGCTGCAGGCAGTGTACAGTTAGCATTAACCCTACAAACTGAATGGAACATATGTTACTCTAAAGCTTTGACGAGGCCTTTTAGGAAGCGAGGTGTTAGAGCGATAGGAAGATGCGTGCTCGATCATCCAGGTGAGGAAATCCCAGAACGCTGATTTTGTTCATCTGGACGTCTTCAGTGTCAGAAACATTTCATCACATCCAAGACTGAGCCTGAGACTCAGCTGGACTCAAGTTTCCCCCCATTATACACAATAAACTAGCACCATTTACTTAATGATGAACAATGGCTTCAATTTTATAATGATTGGTAGGTAAACTGTCACCATTGAAACTGCAGACTTCTAACTTCTTCAGACGAACAGAATCGGTTTTCTGGCACTGTGATACAAGCAGTATACATGCAGTACATTTGGTCTTGTGCACGTGTATAAAAGTGTCTGTAAAGGTGCACAACTAGAGCAAACTCATTCGTATCCATGGACACACAAAAGAACCAACAATGCAAATGGAAACCAGCGAGGCCAAAACGACTCTTTGAATGTGGAGTTTGTCTTTATGCAGACTCACGATAGGCCTGATGAACCTTGTAAGTCTTCTGTTTTGGTTGTGGTGATGAACACATGCTTTGCACCAAATAAAACTTAAATATGTGAGAAAGAGCTCATTGCTTTTTGTATAGATCAGTTTAACATTTTCACCTTGCATCACTAGCACACTGCTTGATAGACTAGAAATGATTCTGTCCTGCTTTTAATGTGGAAGCATAGAAAACGCCACATGTTTAACTCGTTTACATTTTCCAGGCCTAATAAAAACATAATTAGTAATTTTGCTCAGATGGGAGGTTGAAATTTCACCCCTAATCACTATTGCACAGATTTCGATTGCAAATGACATTCCTATATTTTGGGTTAGTGGGGGCAACATGAGCAAGCATTTGGTGGTCTGGCCTTAGCCGCGGGGCCCAGCCATGCTCCGCCCCAACGAGCCACATGGTTGCACCCCTTCACACAGGAGGGGCTGTAGGGGACCAGTGCACTGTGGCCCAGGCAGCAGCTGAAGGTGGACATATTGGTGGTCCAACCCCCAGTTGCTGAAACTGGTTTTAGAAATATGTGACGTCCACTTCTTGGTGGGAGAGAGCCCAAACTGGTGTTTGAGCGCGAGAGACACTGGTCCCACCTGATGACTCGACTGTCTTACTGGTGTTGAGGTTTAAATTTATTATATTATTATTATTATATTGCTTTATATAAGAAAGGCCTAACTGAGTACACTCTGTGCCAAAGCTGCTGACAGGAAACTGCTTTTGCAGAGCGTGGTAACTGCAGTAGAAAGTGAAACCAACTCAGCTGTTTGACCGAAACGTAAAGTGTGCTGTGACGTAGAGAGCAAGTATATAAATACCAAGGCTTCTGTTTGTGCGTCAGACCTGGGGTTGTGTGTTTTGTGCTCAGGTCTCCATATCCTGGATATGTAAAATAAAGATCATTTTTAAAGTAAAAGGACCACTTCTGTGTCTTTTTGGCCATAAAGAACACAAAAGAACTGAATTGAATACTGGGAAACTTTAACACTAATGTGGAGGGGACGTGACTGCAGGGACTGACATGCTCAGCCGTGAAGCAGAGTGTTTCTATCCAACATCCAAGATTCACCCTGACTTTCCCAACTTTCTGTTGCAGTTTGCATGGCTGACACTGCAACACTGCAAGGACACTGCCTCTGGACTGGCTGACCCTCTTCAGGAGGGTGTACCAGAGAGTGTGTTGGGCCTCAAGCTTCTCAGCCCCCTGGGAGGATGTATGCCAGAGAGCTGGAGAGGATCTACTAGTCAAACCTCAGGTTCGAAAAGGAAAGGAGCCATTTCAGGCATCTAACCAGGATGCTTCCTGAGCACATCCTAGGTGAGATCTGCTGGGCATGTCCCACCAGGATGAGGCCTGGGAGCAAACCCAGCTCAGACTGGAACAATTACATCTCCTGGCTGGCTTTTGGACATCTTGGTGTCCCCCAGAGGAGCTAGAACAGATGGTGGAGAGAGGGAGGTGTGGGCTCTGTTGCCCCCGTGACCTATACGTGACAGACAATGTACGGATTGATGGATAATGAATCTAAAGAAGCTGATTAGAACAACACAATTCTCAGAGAAGGAGCAAAAATAAAGGGAAATGTGAAGACTCAAATGAGTTGGTGTGTTTGAATCGTTTTTGAAAAGTTGTGTAATAATTACCTGGTGATGCTATGAAGAAAACAACATAAGGTAAATGTTATTATGGAAGTAACAATGTTGCCATCGGAGATCAAACACTGAACATGACTGTGTGCATGAATGAACACATGCTCGTGGCGTCAGAGTAATCTCTTATCTGTTAATCAGACATACCTTGGCTCATCCCACTGCCCACATTGTCAGAGGGGCTGAAGCCATTCTGGGTGGTCTGGGTGCCCAGGTCCACCATCTGGTGGAGGCGGAGCTTACGGCAATAGATTGATGCAGCTTCAGGTTCTAAGGAGATGATCAGCTGCTCAGGGTTTTCCCGGGACACCAGACCAGACTAGACAAGAGCAGAACAACACAACACGCTTCAGCTTTAAAGGACAAGAAAAGGTTTCTGTTGTCTTCTTCTACTGTGTCCACATGTAGTACACACCGAGGTACCCGTGTTTGCTCAATTATTAGTCACAACTGTACCTGACATGCTACCACCAGTTAAAAGCAGCTGGTGACATGTGGAACATGTAGGAGCTGAGTGGCACAGTGGAAACCAAATTTGTATTGACTCAAACTTAGTGACAACTTTCCCTTCAGCTAACTTTCACTTGGACAGCTGCAGCACATGTGTCCAGCACGTGTACCAGGCGCGTTCAGCCATGGACTGATTCTCATACAGCGCTTTACACAACTTACCTCCTTCACTTTTTAATGCGCTGTTTCAAATGTCTAACATTTACATCAGAAAAACGTAGGATTAGTACTTGTTAGTATCTTGCCCGAGATATTTGGCATGCAGATCAAACCACTAACCTTCTGGTTAGTAGGTGACCTGCTCTACCACTCGAGCTACAGCCATACAACAGGTTTGGCAGTCAGAGACAAACATGATGCCGTGGTATCAACAAAGACTCTTACAGATCTTAAATGTCAGCTGAAACAAATTTAATACCAAAAGTCTGCTTTGTAAGAATTTTCATTTAGTGGTTTGAACAGTTAAGACTTGACCAAGCAGTTTGTTGTTAAACTTCCATTTTCCATCTTCAGGGTTTCCAACAATGTATTTCAAGTCTGACTTGAGCTAATTTATCATCTAAGCATAACATTAAGAAGATGTTTTTACTGAAACACTGGTTTTATAAAACATGGTCTCAATGCACTCAGTTGTCATCTAAATGTGCAGAGGGGTGGAAACAGCAGCATCGTCTCCTACAATTTCAAGAAGTTTTCTCTGAACTGATCTAAGACTGAAATGTAAAAGAGTTTGATTCAATTTAACCTCCTAAGACCTGAACTCTTCCACAGCAGCATTTTTATTTCTCTTTGATGTTTGGGCTGATTGGGACCTGATGAATGTAAAAACAAAGAATTACCAGATTTTTTATTTTCTTTACATTATTTTAGTTTCTAAGAAAAATCAGAGCCACATATGAGGATATTTGTTTAAATTTTGATAGAACAGTAGCAGTATAATGTCCTCGTAAGTGGATATCAGGCCCTTGTAGAGCAAAATTGAGTATTTTGGTGTAAATAACCCAAAATGTGATGTCCACATATGTGGACGCAGGTCCTAGGAGGTTAATTCAATTCTATTCAGTTGTATTCATATAGTACCAAATCACAACAGCAGTCGCCTCAAAGTGCTTTGAACTGTAATGGTGCGATCCTGCAATAACATAGCAATCAAATGACTCTCTTTGAATAAGCAGTTGGCAACAGTGGGAAGGAAAAACTCTCTTTTAACAGGAAGAAACCTCCAACCAACAAGGAAGAGGCTCCCATCAGCCCCAGCTGGTGGCTGTGATTAGACACGACTACAGACATGCTGCAGGAGAAAGCCACAGATGAATAATAATGATGATTAGATGTAGAGCAATGTAATTAAATGCAGAGTGGTGTATAAGAACATAATTAGTGAAAAAGCCAAGTGAACAAGAAGCTCCTGGGATCATGAGAAGCCCACTGCAGTTGACTAAAGCACAACTAAGGCAGGGTTCACATCATCCATCAACTGTGTGCTCTGCTTTGAAGCAAAAGATGTTTTCCCAACAAAAATCTCTGCAAGAGCAGGAATTTGTAGATACTGACTTTGTAGGCAGGCATCCTCAGGAAATGTTCACGTCCTTTCTGATCGTTGTCTCATGTAGTCGCTGTTGTCCTCGCTCAGTGAAGTAACACTAAAGTATCTACTTATTAACCCATCATGTATTAATATAAACTGGAGTAATGTGCGATACGTCTTTAAGATCTGAATTCTTAATTCTTTTGCACAAATAATCTCAGATTTGATGATATATCTACAAACATCATTTTTCCAGTCTGTATATTTGACACAGGCTGTTAACATCGTTCCCTGTTTGGTGACTTTATATGTGGAGGTCACTAAAGACGCTGGAACCATCTGTATTGTTGGTGCAAAGTCACATCCCGGCAATTTGAGCAATTTGGCCTCATCCTGTAGGTTCGAGGTTTTTGTTTCCTTAGTCGTATTTTAAGTTACCCATCGAATGAATGCCTTTCTTTGGTTTATCTACTGTAGAAAGTTCAATGTTCTTTCACTTGGCTTCATAATAAGGCTACAACATACGAGAGCCCAATAAGAGTAGTAAACCCTAACAAAGGCGGAGCCCCCTCTCTCCTCAGACAGAGGATTTCAGCCTTGGTTTCTTGTTATTCCAAATGAATCATGAGATATTTTTACTTCAGTATCCATATTACTGTGTGCCGGGTGGCGGCCAGGAGCGGAGGCCCTGGCGGACTGACCCCCGGCTGCCAAGACTGGCAATAGGGACATGG